AAACAAACAAACAATCTTCGACAGTTTAAGTCTGACATATGTTTAGAATAGTTTAATCGATTAGAGTAAGATGTAAATGTGTAGTAAAGAACATAAAAAGACATGCAATCGTATGAATGGGTGAATTTGAATCAGTAAATAAATACTTATCGTCACGTGTGGGTAGTAACAGTGTATAATAACTTGGACGTATTCATCATACCGCGCCTCCGTAGTTTTGAATAAATACATTGTCAGATGTTTTGAAATATTCGATTTTAATTTATTCCTAAGATTGGCGATCTTGCACTTACATGATTGTTTGAAATGTTGTATTTGAACAAATTTTACTTCTGCTTAAGTTTCAATTTACGATAAGTATTTGTATTTAAATTTTTCCAGAGTGACCATTAGGTTTCAGTTATTTTTTTAATCAAAAGTAGAATAATATATAGTGAAAATTCACAATGTGGTCATGCATTTACTATTTCCTTCTAGTTTTATTTGTTAACTATTTTAACGCATAGACTGGTATATGTTAAGAATATAACACGTGGTCCTCAAAACAATATTTTTTTTTTTAGATTAGATTAACTCATTTCTAAGTGTTCACCCTCTTCATTTTTTACAGTGTTTGTAAGAAACGGTAGTGAGTTCCTAGTTCAAAAAATATTTTTATTTTATTTCAGGTTCTCGGGTAATAACAACTTGTACTTTTGGATATGTGGCACTGACGTTGATTCATATTCATAGTGAAGACTCGGGAGTTTATATGTGTAAAGCAACAAACGAAGCTGGCGAAGCAGTAACAACAGCAACTCTGCATGTCAGTCGTAAGTATCCACGGCAACCACACAAGTTAGCCTTAAGTATCCACAGTAATCACACATGTTGGCCTTAAGTATTTACAGCAACGCTGCACGTCATCCATAAGTATCCATAGCAACCACATATGCTAGCCTTAAGTATACACAGCAACCACACATGTTAGTCGTAAGTATCCAGAGCAACGTCGAATATTAGCCATAAGTATCCACAGCAACCCCGCACATCAACACTAAGTACCCATAGCAACGCTGCGCGTTAAACCTAGGTATCCACAGCAACCCTGCACGTCAACAGTAAGTATCCACAGCAACCCTACACGTCAGTCATGAATATTTTATACCACTGTATCCACAAGTGTCCTAGAATAATTTTACTTAATACCAAGTTTTTGGTTGATTTTCAAGTGTAGATAAATAAGCTAAAAATAGGATTATTATTGAAAGTTAAGCAGGATAATGTGAATAACTCGCAAGAATATGTTTTATTTACCGCTATAAATAGTGTTCAGAATTGAGTTTTGACCAGTCAAGTAAGTTGTAACTATAATTTGAAAACATCTCCTGTCTGTTTATAACAACAAGTCGAACAACGCGATTGAAAAACGTATGGATCAAACACTTCTCAGTCATCTTCTGATGGCATCTCGACATAATAAATACGCATGAAGGGGTGGTTTTGTATTTATAACTCTGGCATGTCTTCAGTTAAAGTAAAGACACTCAGGACAGTTTAGTTCACTATGATAAATGTGTACGTTTATGTAAGTGTAGGAACTCTTTGAACCTTTTCTCTGGTTAACCTTTAGTCTTATCTGCACTGATAACCCTCTATCAGCTGTTCACAAAGTTTGTAGGTTCACTAATCTGTAGCGAGAGAGTGTACGTTTATGTAAGTGTAGGAACTCTTTGAACCTTTTCTCTGATTAACCTTCAGTCTTATCTGCACTGATAACCCTCTATCAGCTGTTCACAAAGTTTGTAGGTTCACTAATCTGTAGCGAGAGACAACAGCAAACTTTATGTATAATTTCGAAACACAGAAACAGATCCGAGGAAGTTATAATATATATGTAGATGTTTCTATTGGTTTTGGTTCTCCAAGAGGTTTCGAAAACGTCGAAGCGAGATTTTTTAGCATTATTCTGAGAAGTTACACCTGTTTTTAGTAAGCATCAAAAATGCTGATAAAAAGTATCAAGCTTTGAATAAACTATAGATACTATACTAATTTTACCTGAACCTTGAAAATTACACTTATGTACGACATCTGTTTGGTTATCATGCTGAGACCAATAACATTGTCTTCTAGCTCGACCAGTAATTGAACGATCGACTCAACAACCAGAGAGCTGGGACGCTATTCAAGACCTAGAGGATTGGGATCGTTACAAACGGGAGGAATCGGTTGAGGAAACTATATCAGTTTCAAAACCAGTGTTTGTCAAGCCTTTGAACAACTTGGAAAACCTACGAGAGGGGGGATTTGCTCACTTCGAAGCTCAGCTCACCCCCGTGAACGATCCTACAATGAAGGTCGAGTGGCTGTTTAACGGAGAACCATTACAGGCCGGTAAGATTTTGGTAAAGCTTTTTTTTTGGGGGGGGGGGGATTTATAATAATAATAATAATAAAGCGGTGGCTCAAAACTCAAAATTAATCATACCAAACAAAAGTTTGGATAATACGTAATAAGGTGAGCTCTTAGAAATCGTAAATAAAATAAGTTATTTCAAAATGATTTAACAAAAATTAAATAATAATATTGAACTTAATGTTTGTATCCCATAATGATTTTAGTTGTACTTTTATTGCACACCATACATGTGCGAATAAACACATAAACATTACTGAACAACTAATTACAGGCTCTAGAGTGAGTACAACGTTCAGCTTTGGCTACGTGGCTTTAAACATCAAACACCTTCGAGCTGAAGATGCTGGAGTATATGTTTGTCGAGCAACAAATCAGAAAGGACAAGCCGTTTCAACTGCAACACTGAAAGTCAGAGGTAGGTAGGAGTGAATTTCGAGAATTCTATTCTTTACAGATCGTGATCAAATAACGAGCTTAACTGATAACACTCACACACACAGACCTGTGAGAAAGTGGTATGAAATTTATTAATAAGTTCAACACAACACTTGACCTATGATGTTTCAAATGTAGAGAACTATATAAAGAAAAAAAGGCGCCAAAGTCGATTTCTTCATAAAGACAAATGTATACTGTTTAGGTTTACTTTGGTCTACGTGTGTTTTTGTGCTTTATGGTTTTATGAGAAGAGTCCCCTGGTAGGATAACGGTAAGTCTTCGGATTTACAATGCTAAAATCAGGGGGTTCGAATCACCTCGGTGAACACAGCAGATAGCTAGATGTGGCTTTGCTATAAGAAAACACACACACATACGCTGAAAACTCCTATAGATGCAAATCTGGCATAGTTAAAATACAGTTAAATAATGCATATATTCTACAAGAAATTATATGGTTTGGCCATGAAATTAAGATGTCTCTACTTGTGGTGTGAATATATATTGCGTTCTGTGGGGTGCCTTATCTGCTTTCAGATTAAACGTCTCTGTATAATAATATTACTTTGTGATACACATTTAAAAGCAGAATATATAATTAGAGTGAAAGACGCATCCTTTATTTAGTGTAAAAGAAGAATTGTTCTTGATTGAATATTTTTAAAACAAATAATAGTTTCTCTAGAATATAATGGGGATTGTTTGGCGATTTTATTTTGTTGAGAACTATCAAGTTTTTAGATTCTCATACATTATTTGATGTCTCTGAATTCAGTAATACAACTGTTAAAACAGTTATAGATTTTCTACAAAAAATACTTTGAGGTCTGTGTGAACCCCACCAAAAGTCACCCTTGTCGTTAATTATCTATGTTATGGCATCTAACGCAAACCTATAAACAAAACTTTATATGTTAAAATGTGTTTGATAAAATCTACTTGGTGCGTTTTTTTCCAGATTCTATGTGTTATATATATATATATATACAACATTCCATTAATGATTTTCAGTGTCTGGAGAGATAATCACTGATTTAGGATTTCCCGAACAACAACAATATCAACAACGAATCCAAGAGCTCGAATCTTGGCAGCAACAACAACAACAAGTCTACGAGGTTGAAGAAGCAGTGCCACAGCAAACACCAACGTTTTTCAGTCAGTTAAAAGATCTTTTGAATATACCAGAAGGAAAAGTAGCTCATTTTGAAGCCCGTATAGAACCTTCTGGTGACTCTACGATGAGAATAGAGTGGCTGAAAGATGATAAACCACTAGAAGCAAGTACGTTTCATTAAAACTTGAATTAAGTAGACTTTAACTAGAAACGATTTCCCTTATTGTATGAACTGTAGAACACATAGTACCGTTATACGGAGAAATAACATCTTCTCGTGGTTTATACATAATAACCTAATTACACATGATAAAATTTAAAGGTATTTTTTAAATACCGTGAATATCTACAGATAATTTTAATACTAAATAAACATTTTCTTTTCGTTTCAATTTATAAAATATTTTAATAATAATGGGTAATAAAAACCGGTTTGAACGGCACATAATATTACAACGATAAAATAGAATATCGTGAATTCTGATATTTGTAAACCACGATGTTTCCAGCCTTGATTACTTGTCTTTTTTAACAAGTTATTAAATCATGTTTTCAACTTTGTGTTTCTCTCTTCCAACAGGTTGTTTAAACATGATGTTTTCAACTTTGGTGTGTGTCTCTCTTTCAACAGGTTGTTTAAACATGATGTTTTCAACTTTGGTGTGTATCTCTCTCTTCCAACAGGTTGTTTAGACATGATGTTTTCAACTTTGGTGTGTGTGTCTCTTCCAACAGGTTGTTTAGACATGATGTTTTTCAACTTTGGTATATGTGTCTTTCCCAAAAGATTCTCGAATCATCATGTTTTTCATCTTCGGTGTATGTGTATCTTCCAAATTATTCTCGAACCACGATGTTTTCAATCTTGATTATTTGCCTTTTTCAACGGGTTTTTGAATCGTGATGTTTTCAACTTGGTGTGAATTTCCTCCAACGGGTTCTTGAATCATAATATTTTCAACTTTGGTTAATTGCTTCTTCCAACAGGTTCTCGGACTTCCACGTTCTTCAACTTTGGTTATGTTTCATTGACCATCCGTGGAATAGACAGCCGTGATTCTGGCACCTACACTTGTGTCGCAACAAACAGCAAAGGATCGGCCTTTTCTGCTGCAAGATTAACATGCATTGGTAAATTATGATTTTCTCTTTTTGTGTTTAGATAAACTATTTATAAATCTTATAAGTTTGATAAGTGAAGATAATCCTTAATAACCATCTACATTTAAAATGAAAAAATTCGATACTAGTCACAAAACTTCTTGCAATTTTTTCACTGCGTGTTTTTTAAATCAAAATACCTCTGAGAACCTTAAGTATTTGAATTGATCTGAATAGACATATTCATATAGGTTCTTTGACATCTATTTTACTCGCTAATCAGTCGCGAAAACTAAGGCACTATTTCTTCTTGTTTTGAAACGCAGAAAAGAAGAGCGTGGTACTGGAGAGCCAATACCCAGAAGGTTTAGAGAAGATTCAACATCTAGAAGATACCTCTCGGTACCAGCGAGATGTAGAGGAAGAAACCACTGTGACGCAGCGGCCTGTGTTTGTAGATGCTCTTAAGGGAAAAGATCGTGTTATAGAAGGACAAAGCGCCCACTTTGAAACAAGGCTCGAACCCCTCGGCGATCTAACAATGACCGTTGAATGGTTTTTTAACGGAAAACCCCTAACAACAGGTAATATAGAATTTCAACCTCATCAGAAATAGTCTATTTAGGTTTTAAATAACCTAGCTGACACATTCGTGTACTGTCACTAGAAGCAGGTGGTCATAAGATACGCTTTACTTGTCTAAATTATACGTCCTATTCTTGTTTGTTTCTAGGTAACCGGCATGTCTTTCTTAGCGATTAGTGTTCAATAAATTTCATAATTATCTTTTTTGTAATCTGAAAATTTCCAGTTAATTAAAAATCAGTTATTAATCAGTTATTAGATATTATTAAAAGCTAATATCAAAGTTCACCAACGAATTGTGTCTTACTAACCCCTGTACAAAAACAGTGCGTATAGTTGAACATCAAAACTAACTAAATATATAAATTACACTAAACACAATATAAAGTGAACAAAATACATTCACTCCATTAACTAATGGATGTAAAATAAAATATTCGAATATATTCTTATGAAAATGTCAAAAGAGTTAGATAGTAGTTTATAATAAATTTCTGAAAAAAAGACATAATTATTATTATTTCTAGAAATAAACGACCTTATCAATGTATGTATGATGGTAGATGGTAAACAACAGTGGAAGAAAAATATCCATCTTTAGATTGTAAACATGTTTTTTTGTAAGACAGTTAGCTTTGTTAGAGTAGTGTACTGATGATTTGAAAATGGACTTTTGAGAGTTAGGCCTGGTCGTTACACTTGGCTTTGTTACACTGAACGGTAATGTACTGATGATTTGAAAATGGACTTCTGAGAGTTAAACCTGGTCGTTCTGTAACTTTAATAGGCAGTTCAGATTTGTAGATTATGTTGTTGTTTTTCTTAGTTGGTTTCGTCATCTATAGAGGTACTGCAAAAATATTGTTTTTGTGGTGTCTTTGGGAAATCGTTTTCTTTCTACTTGATTTCTCTGTATTTTTTATGTTGGAAGTGCAATGCTGGAAGCTTACAGATTATGCTAGAAGAGAAGAAAAATGGATCTTTTATTGGTTTAGAAAACAATGTATATTGTTGTCATTATCGATCGTTAAGGTGGTACCAAGAAAATCTGTATTCCTGTTGTCAATCGAATGATTAAGGGTGACTTGGACGTTGGAGTCTATGAAATGGAGAAAGTCTAGAAATTTCATTAAAGAATCAAAGCCAAGGCTCAATAGTCCAAACACGTCATCGATGTATGTAAGCCAATGATTGGAATCTTTGCACCATTTTTTAAGAGAACTTGCTTCAAAAAGAACAGCTGATACAGTTTATTGTAAGAACGAATATATCAGTTATGAAGAATAAAATGTTGGATGTCTCTGAGAGTGGTTACTGAAAATCCGCACATCTTCAAATGCTTTAATAATATATGAATTTATGTTGATGTAAATACTATTGTTGTGTGTAGGAAACTATAAAGGTTAATGTAAAGAGTATTGTTGTGTGTAGATAACTACAAAGGTTAATGTAAAGAGTATTGTTGTGTGTAGAGAACTACAAAGGTTAATGCAAAGAGTATTGTTGTGTGTAGGGAACTACAAAGGTTAATGTAAAGAGTATTGTTGTGTGTAGAGAACTACAAAGGTTAATGTAAAGAGTATTGTTGTGTGTAGAGAACTACAAAGGTTAATGTAAAGAGTATTGTTGTGTGTAGAGAACTACAAAGGTTAATGTAAAGAGTATTGTTGTGTGTAGAAAACTACAAAGGTTAATGTAAAGAGTATTGTTGTGTGTAGAGAACTATAAAGATTAATGTAAAGAGTATTGTTGTGTGTAGGGAACTACAAAGGTTAATGTAAAGAGTATTGTTGTGTGTAGAGAACTACAAAGGTTAATGTAAAGAGTATTGTTGTGTGTAGAGAACTACAAAGGTTAATGTAAAGAGTACTGTTGTGTGTAGGGAACTATAAAGCTTAATGTAAAGAGTATTGTTGTGTGTAGAGAACTACAAAGGTTAATGTAAAGAGTATTGTTGTGTTTGTAAGTACATAAGGTTCATTCTTGATACGAGATAGCATATCTTATGTATTTTTTCATGTGCGCTGGAAAATGATAAACAAAAATAACGACAGATAAATTTGGTGCTATAATGTCATTTTATTCCAGAATTAAGAAGTTTTTATATTCCAATATCAACAACAGAAATTAGACAAGATCATTGCTATATGATTATGTCATTTATGGGTATACAATATTAATGAATAATATCATATACTTCTGTAATCTGAATTATTGTTGTTGTTTCACATTTCTCCTTCATTTCACTTGAAACCATTGATGTTATACTCTTTACCTAGGTCATCGTTTCAAGACCTATTTTGATTTCGGATATGTGGCTCTCGATATTCTGTACACCTTCCCTGAGGACAGCGGTAGTTTCACCGTAAAGGCAAGAAACGCACTCGGTGAAGCAGTGCAGTCAAAATCCATTTTCGTTCAAGGCAAGACAGCTTGATCATTCGCTCTGGGAAAAGGGACGAATACTGCAAAAAAAATAAACAAAAAACCTTTAAATGAGTAGATACTAGAGACGCAAACTTTGATGTTTTAATTAGTTAAATATGTTTATATGATAAAACTTTATAAGTGAAGATGTATATCGTATATAAATAACCCTACAATTTCTTCAGTTTTAACTTTCGTAACGTTATTTTATGCGCTTAAATACGAATAGATGAAAAAATTACTTGGAAAAATACAAATTATTTTTAACAGATTAAATCTCTGATGGACTTAGGTTTAGAATGCACGTTTCTTCAGTAAATCCTTTAAGTTTTATATGTGTTTTTAGAAATTCGCCTTTTTTCATATTGTTATTTTATACAAACATCGTGAGTTTTAAAGACTATTGTCAACTTCCATTATTTAATTAGAGAAATACCACATGTTGGATGTTGTTGGCTAACGTCCTTTTCTTTAGGCTATCACTTCAAAATAAGGAACGGCTAGCGTAGGTAGCCATTGAATATATTTGCGCGAACAACATTATTTTATTTTAATGTTTTTATACTATGCCATAAATATCTTCCCTCCATATTTTTATTTCTGAAAACTTATGAAATGTAATTTTTTATTTTCTGGTATTAATTTATTTACCACACTAATCTTTTTCGAGGTTAGTAAGCACTGAAATACTAATATTTGTTCTGTACAGCTAAGAGTGCTGTTGACACATCGACAATGCACGAGATGGGTTTGGAACAAATTGCACAACTGGAAGAACCACCACACCAAGAACCATATTACATGATTGAAGAAATAACGAAGTCCAAGCCCATTTTTACTCATCCTCTGCACGACCCAAAACCGCTTCGAGAAGGTGAAAGGCTCCATTTGGAATGTCGGCTAGAACCGGCCAACGATCCAACAATGAAAGTGGAGTGGTTCTTCAATGGAAAACCGCTGAAGACAGGTAAATCTGTTACTTGTACACCATATCACAAGTCCTTGTTAAGAGTAAGTTTGAACATTAGATATGGTATTCATGTCCTGGGCTTTCGTCCATTTACAGTATTTATTTTTTTTACGACTTAAATAACTTGAGCATGATAGTTTGGAAATATTCGTAGATATTTCAGACAAAACCAAATTTTTGCACACACGCAGTGTGTTTTGGGGTGGGGGTTTGTAAAACGTTTGATGATCAAACGTTTGAATTGTATATCTTTTTTACTTCTCTTTTTAGGAAGTCGTATACAAACCTTGTACGAATTTGGCTTCATATCTCTTGATCTGCTTACTGCTAATGCTGAAGATACTGGGGAGTTCACTGTTCGAGCAACTAATCATTTGGGATCATCTCATACAAGTTCTCTGGTTAAAGTGGTGGGTAAGTGTCTTTACGTGTACTTTTTACCTAAACAAGGGGAAAAACCTGATTGTCAAAATAATTTCAATTGTCATTAATTATGTTATACACGTAACACAGTTGTTCAGTTTCCATACTCTCTCATGTGTTATACACGTAACACAGTTGTTCAGTTTTCATACTATCTCATGTGTTATACACGTAACACAGTTGTTCAGTTTCCATACTATCTC